TATCTATCTATCTATCTATCTATCTATCTATCTATCTATCTATATATATATATATATATATATATATATATATATATATATCGAGAGAGAGAGAGAGATTATTCTTCAAATAGGGTGGCAGGTGGGATGTACTTTATTCTGGGCCACCCCTTAGCACCGCCACTGCAGACAGCAGCAGACACCTCGCTGCTCGCGCTTTTCTCCCTGTAGTTCCATGCTCGGACGCTGGATTGCGCTCTCGCACCATGTGTGTGCGTGACTGCGTGTTGCTCCCGCGTGGACAGGAGGAAGGAGACGCTCTCGGACTGCTCCAGAGCTTCAGAAAGTCTCCATCCGGCAGCATTCATCCAGCCCCATGGACACGGTAGCGCGCACACAGACGCGCAAGTGAACCGGAGCGGAATGGAGGCAACACCTGAGCAGAAAACTGCAGCTGAGGGGGCTTTCTTATTATTTCCTGCTGGGAGGTGCAGCATCTGAGGGCGTGATGAGGAGCGTTTAACGCTGCCGGAGGGAAAGGTGCCTGATAGCCTCCTGCCGGGGAGGAGCAGGGAAATCCCTCACCCCACTGAGGCACAGTGAAGGAGGAGGAGGAGGAAAAGGGAGAGTTCAACGACTGGAACCAGGAGAGTTAAGGAGTGCGTTATGATTGGAGCATTTGTCCAAATTGTCCTGCTGCTGGAAGCTGAAATGGAATCAGTCTGAAGGTGACTCTTTAGTTCTTCAAGCTGCTGGGATTCCTCTCATCATCATCATCATGAGTGGACCGACTCATGGTAAGTGGCTCTCTCCTGGAGGAAATGAGAAGTGAAGACTCAGATTTATCACTTCATGACATAATCTTTCCAGTCAGTGAGTGACATTATTCCTCTGTGTTTAAGGCTCCATCATGTAACAGAGCAGGGAAGGTGAACTGCTGTCACTGGATTAGATTTATTCATTGGATTCATGGAAATAGTTTGTCATCTCAGGAATAAAAGACAGAGTTGTGATTTGGAGAGATGAGAAAACTCAAACATAGATCTCAAAAGATGTGTTTTGTGTGAAACCACGGAATCCCAGAATCTAACAATAAGCTGCTTTGATAACTTTATTAGACTTGAAGCAGCTCCCACCTGGGGGAGATCTTTAACCTTATAAAAACTCTTGTCAGTAAATCAAAGTGGTCCTGGGTGAATAACTTTAACTTTCAACTCTCCCATGGAAATAATAGGAATTATGCTGTGATGAACTGCTTCAGTTCAACCTATGGAAGAGGTTGTTGGTTTTTATTCTGGCTAGAACCAGCGGTAAGAGTCAGGGTGGGTCTGTCCACAGAACAAATAAAGTCTTTGACATTGAAATTATTTTAACAAGAGCCGCTGAGAAATTAGCACAAATTACATTTTTCTTTTGTGAAAATCAGCCGTCAGCAACGACGTAGTTTGTTGCTGATGATGATGTAAAAGTGAGAAGAGATCTGAGAAGCATTTAAAATTTTTAATTTAAAAAAGGCTATAAAAAAAGACAAAATGTGACATCTTTAATGCTCAGTTGAACTATTTCTATCTCACACGCTTCCAGTCTTGTACGCTAAAGCTATAAATGTTTTTTTTTTTAGCTTTGTTCTTATTCAGTGTTAGTTAATAACGACAACTTGACCATTAAGATTAAACCAGAACCAGTGTCCAAACACTCAACAGCCAACACTGAATCACTTGCACTGCACGTGTTTTCACATTTATTCATTCCAGAACAGCGTTTTAAGCTACTAATAATAACAAAAGACACACATTCTTCTTGCAGCCATGTTCACAGGTGGCTCAGATCTTTCCATGTCTACTGTTCCAAACCTTGTGCTGCCATCTGGCTACAAAAACCAGTGCCAGCCTGTGAGAAACACACCCACAGAGCCACACACTCTAAGGATACAGCATTTTTTTTGGTCCTACTTTTATGTCTTTTCTCTCCTCCTGTAAGCATGCACAGATCCACGGCTCTCCCTCGGCATGCTCCTTTCCTGCTGCCATCAGCTTAACCTGCCAGCTTGTCATGTTCACTGTGATTGCATAATATTCTGGGATGCAGTGGCGTTGTCTGAAATGTAATTGAATTGAGCAGAATACAGTGGATTTGCTCCTCAGACTGTTGAACTGAGTACAACTGGTTTTGAGTGACGTCTGTTAGAGCTTGAGAAATCTATTCTTTCTTTCAGACACAGAGCAGAACGTGCACGAGTGTGATTCAGACGGCGTAAGGAAAATTAAAGCTCTACTAAGTAAAATTTCTATTTTTTTCCCTCTTGTTTGACATGTTTTATAGATGGTGAGTTGTAGCCGGACCTCTTGAAGGAGACAGTTTTCAGAAGCTCAGCAGCACTTTTAATAATTGAGGCCTAGCATTCCTTGAAGGACTGCGTATCATCCACCACCTTTCATGCTCAAGTTTTAGAGCAAGACAGACATGAGAGAACACACACACAAAAATCTAAACATATATTAATAGAAAATTAGAACAACAACAACAACAACAAAAGACCCAAACCAGGATGCTTTCTTTATTTCTGCCTCTCTGGGCTACGGTGTCATAAATCAAGTTATTGTTGTTTTCAGATTAACAGACTGTCCAGGAGACACAACGAGCTCAAAATCCACTCAGTGATCTATTTTCCTGTTCTGTGAACCTTTGATCCATTATGTAAAGCTAATTTTCTCATGGTGGCTACTACAGACATCTACACCTCCAGAAGCAGGAAGAGGGTCACCTGCATCATGAAGGACCCCACTCACCCAGCACACGCACTTTTTGCCCTGCTCCCCTCAGGAAGGAGGTTGAGTGTAGAACCACCAGACCAGGGGTGCCCAAACTTTTTCTCTGAATGGACAAATTTAAAATCTATCAGAGGGCTGTCGGCCAAATGCAATAATATAATACATGAAATGCAAATAATTATTTAAGTAAAGTCCATTTATTTATTAAACAGTTATTTATCCTTCCATTCTGTATAAAGAACATACAGAACAGGCTGCATTAGTGGTGGTGGAGGGTCTGGGGGTCCTCCCCCAGAGAATTTTGAATAAAGTAGATGTCATTTCCTGCATTTTGGTACTTTACTAAAGTTTATTACAGTAGATTAACATAAAACAAAAGATGTAAACTCTGTTATTATTGAAATCTCTGCCTGCAAAGAGTTCTTAATGCAACTCCGTGCAGCTCTGCAGGTAAGGGACATTCACTTCAGGACAAATTGAAGTCGCTGACTGTTCAGTTGCCAACATGCCTACTGGATTGATTGACAGGTGGCGTGACCCGTGCAAAAAAAAAAAAAAAATAGATTTTACTGGCCCCTTTGAGATTTTTGTCATTTATTCTATATTTCTTCAACATTTCTTCAATATTTTGGTGAATCTAAGGTTTGAAAACTGTTTCCTTACAAAATCCTAATGATGATTTCTTAATTTTTCAGAGATGCCGAGTTAAAATTTAGGGGTGCTCAAGAAGGGTGTGCGATGGACACCTACTTGATGCTCAGCTTTGTCGAAGGAAATGTTAATCAGCAGCAAGAAACTGCAGAGAGACAGACAAAATAAAATATAAATGATTAAAATAAAAAAAAGATTAATGCACAAATTCATTCATTCATTCATTCAACCTTTATTTAGACAGGTTAATCCCATCGAGCCCCGAGGACTCATTTACAAGAGAGACCTGAACTGAGACCTGAAGACCTGAAAAATGAGTCACTCCAGCTGTGTAGTGTCATTACAGTAGTCATTGGGCCAACTTTCCATCTAACATTAAACTTGGAATGACTGAGTGTAAACACATTGATTCTTCAAAGGAAATTTTAATATAGTAATGAGGACAGCTTGGCAGGCCAAATCAAATGGCTTGGTGGGCCCACTTTGGCCCGTGGGCCCCACTTTGGGCACCCCTGCACTAGACTGCGAAACAGCTTCTACCCTGAGGCTGTTAGACTCATGAATCTCTGACCAGGATAACCACTGTGAAAAATCACATCATGTTGCTGCTGATCTGTTTCTTGTTGCTGTGTTCATTCGTGCTCATCTGCTCACACAGACTCATGTTCGTGCTGCTGTTCATCGTATTGTTTTTATGCTACCAGTGCTTAGTGTATTTTTAGTTAACGTTTTTCTTACTTCACATCTTAGATCTTGTTACTGTTTTTCTTTTACATTTTATACTTTTCTTGGATGTAACTGGAAGCCTGTGTACACAATTTTGTTCCACCACATATGATGCTATATAAATAGACAAATTTATATAGACAAATAATAATAATTTATAAGACAAATAAAGAACCTTGAGTCCTTGAATTAAAGTTTAAGAGGCGTTTTTCAGTTGTTGTTTTTTTTAATCCAACCAAAGTGCTGGATTTCAAAATGTGTCTTTTGATGGTCCAATTTATAGTTCGTGGTTTAAAAGAGAGCATCTGCAGATTTAAACAACAGTAATATTCTGTTTATTTCATATGTAACCAATAAACTCTTTTCAAGCTTGAGAAATGTGGCGCAGAGGTTAGAGAAGGTGGGCCTGTGATCAGAAGTTCGCTGGGTCGACTCCAACAACATGAAAATGTTTGCCCCACTCTGGGCCCTTGAGCAAGGCCCTTAACCCCCACCCTCTGCTCCTCCAGGCACCCTAGATGGCAGCTCTCTGCTCCACACAGAGGGCTGTGGTAGCTCAGTGGTCTGTGGTTACATCAGGAAGGGCATCAGCATAAAAACAATTGTGAAGTCTTTGTGCGAGTTAGTTCACTGTGGCGACCCCTGAAGAAGAGAGCAGCCGAAAGTAAATAAAAAATTAACCAAACCATTGCTTTTAACTTTTATGGGGGACTCTGCGTTTCTTTTCAAATACTTTGATCATATGTTTGAAACAAAGAGGAAAGGAGCAGCTTGAAAATGGCAACAAGTGTCATGTTTGTGATGCTCTCCTCTCCTCTAATCTTCTTACAGTGACGTTCCAGTCAGGTCTCTATGGAGGAAACAACAACAGCAGCTCTCCTCTCTCCAGCGCTGGAAATTCGCCCATCGTGTGTGAGCGCTGCCAGGAGGTTTGTCGAGGGGAGGTGGTGCGTGTCAAGAACACACATTTCCATGTTCACTGCTTCACCTGTCAAGGTAAGAAAAAATAAAATCAGACAAAAGTGCATTAAAACAAACATACCGTACTCCCTGTATATCCACTCAGAGCTGCTTCTGTTCTTTCTCTAACTCACAAAATCTTTCCTGCTGGTTTATTTTCCAGTCCTGGACTAATGCAAGGCTGTCCATTTGGAAATTACAACCCAAATCAATTAGCATAATTAAATATTAAATTATTGCTTGTCCTCAGACAAGAAGGAACCAGCACCACTGAAGACTCTGAGCACAATGAAAAATGTTGAACCAACATTTAACTCAGTAAAACTGTGTAATATAGAAGAATAAAATGAACAAGCATTCAGAACTGGGAAATATAACCAAATATCCATATGGTGCATTTTATATCCACTTTTTATTTTAGTTGAGATCAACTTTAAAGGTCTTTTTAACATTAAAGTAATGTTAGTTTTCCAGCAGCCAGTTAAACCAAGTGTTTAAGTTCAGTTCAAATTCATACCAAGTCCAGATAAAAGAGAGATTGGAAAAGTATTTGTGATTAAAATAACAATGTGGTATTAAAATACAAACTATACACAGTGATTCAAAAAAAGTTACAATTCTGAACTCCCAGTTTGGAAATGAGAAAGCTCCCAGACTGGGAAACGGAACGTGTTCTGCTATTGAATGGAAGTCCAGCTGCTTTCTTTTACAAAACTTTTGGGATTTGCCATTTCCAGTATGACTGAGTATCTACATCAGCATACACAGAGATTACCGTACTTCTACTTTGTCAATAGTTGCACAGAAATATTGCTCATATGACATTATATGATATAGACACATTTTTTTTACTCCATTGCAGATATAAGTATAATGTTTCAGCTGATAAAACGACTTTTACATCTTTTTTTTCTGACACATAATGTGGGAAGGACTGCATGAAAATCACAGCAAACAGTCAGAATAACTGAAAAAGTTCCATAATTTAAACTGGGCACTTTTCACTCGTTATAGCCTTTTTCAATGAGCTCGACTCGGCACGACTTCAGTCTTTCCATCGGGTGTTCCAACACACTTCCAGCTCTGATCTTAAGGCATCACGACTCACTTGGACTCTAAAGTCTACACAATCTTAGTTTGTTGAGTGTTGTGATGACTGAACCAGCAATTGAAAATAAGGAAAATATAGGTTTATTATGGTTAATACAATAGTCCCTCACTACTTCGCGGTTCGTTTATCGCGGACTCGCTCTATCACGGTTTTTCAAATTAAGATTTGACATGGCTGATTGATGGATGAGCCGCATGGAGTTTTTATTTAAAATAAATTATTTTAAATTATTTAGCACCTCCTGCACATTTGTGCAGCCCAGAGCAGCAGAAAAAGCTTCCTCCTGCAGCTTTGTGCAGCCCATACTGCTGGATAAACTTTCTTCTGCAGCTGATCAGCTGTTCTCATGCAGAGCGGAGAAGTGGGCGTGGCCAAGAGTGCTTGCAGGTGGCAAAGAGCAGAGGAGGCAGGGAGCTGAAATCACGACAATCTGTGCTCTTTTAGAGCGTTTAGAGTTTAGAAACATTGTTTAGAATATTGCAAAAGTGTGGGAAGGATTTAAAATGCTTATATATATATATATATATATATATATATATATATATATATATATATATATATGAACTACTACTTACTACTTCATGGGTTTTCACTTATCGCGGGTCTTCAGAGCACGGATCCCTCATGATAAACGAGGTACTACTGCATACTGTATTATATTATACTATACTGTATTATTATTGTTTAGTGTATATCTTAGATCCTTGCATACTGTTTCATTTTATATGTTGTACAAAGTATTTTTGCTATTTTTGGATGTAACTGGGACCTTGAGTACACATTTTCGTTCCACCTCATGTACCACATGTGATGCGAATGACAATAAATAACCTTGAACCGTGTTGTGGTATTCAACAGAAATATTGCACTTGCAGAGCAGAGGTAAGCTTTAATGAAAGGTGTTACTAGGATGTATGTGTGTGTGTGTGTGTGTGTGGGGGGGGGGGGGTCTTACTGTTTTTTATATAACATTTTAAACTTATTTTTTAATTTATATTTTACCATTGGCTATGGTGATATTGTGGAGGTGAGTGGTCCCAAAGAGGAAGCAAAATGTCATGTCAAAAAATCAATAGGACTGTTTTCAAAATTTCAACCCATGGTTATTTTAATTATTTGTTTCTATGAATTTAGCAATTAATAAAAAATAAATATAAAAAAAAACCCTTTCAGAAATGGTGGAGCCCATAAGGCTTATGTCATTGGTCCCCACAAAGTAGTAAAAACGTGTGTGTGTGTGTTTATGTTTTTGCCATCTTTTTGCTTTGCATATTTATGTCTTGTAGCGTGACCTTGCAGTTGTCTGTGACTTTTACAGCAATTTCTATTTTTTATGGTTGATCTCCTTCAGTGACCAGATGGGACAGAACCCAGTTAAAGAGGTCTGGAGTCAGCAGCTGCAGCGTTGCAGTCAGCAGGTTTTCAGCCTCTAGTCAGACTCCAACCAGCTAACCTTCTTTTAGAGGCTGAGACCTCCACGGTCTCAAAGCAAGTCAACACAGTCCTTATCTGCAGCTAACATTGCCTCAATGCTCTCAGTCAGGAGTATCTTTTATATATATATATATATATATATATATATATATATAAAATGCCATATTTATTCCAGCTCATGTAATACTGTGAATTTTAAAAATTACAAAGAGCTGAACTGACTCCTTTTGCAGATTGATTCGACCAACACTTGACCAAACAACTGTCAGATTGCTCACTTGATGCACTCATTCCTTTTGTCACAACACAAACTAGATTTATTGACGGAAGCGGTCTCCCTTTGATGTAAAAGTCTTCATCTTTAGGGACACTTGATCTTGCAGAGTAAGCTTAATGACTGGAGGCTAATGGATCGTTGGCTGAGTGGGCATCATCTGATGAAATGGACAAGAATTAAACTGTCAGCTTTTAGTACACAAACATCTCTCATTTTGTTCCTCCACTGCTCATTATCCTCTCTTCTTGTCACCTTCTACGTTTCTTCTGTGTCTTAGCTTTTTGCTTTAAATGTCACATTTATGAGTCTTTTTTTAGTGCACAACTTATTTGGTCATGGCTGTTCAGGACTGACAAGTGTGTCTTTATTTGACGACAAAGAGCGAAAATAGATGAACAGAGTGTGAAAGTGAGATTTACTAAATGTTTTTTGTGTTGTACTTCATTATAAAAGATGGGCAATCGTGTAAATCCGTGTTTGTGTGCATGCAAGTAAAATATATTTATGGCATTTTTCACAAATGAAATCACAAAGCGCTTCACAGTAAATACAATACAATGATTAAAGGCCTAGCATTCTTTGAAGCATGTCACCCACCACCTTTCATGAAAGACTTTTGATTCAAGATGGCTGCCACAGCTACATGTTGCCACATGTATTAGTGCTCAAGCTAAACTAGCTGTAGTGGCCATCTTGAATTATGTTAACTAGTAATGCCAACCAGTTGATGGTGTACATCCAGTTTGTTTCATTAAAGTCCATCCAACGCTTTATGAGATATTTTGCTTACAGGTGGACAGTGTTGATAGAAATCATTAGCAAAAGTTAAAGCAAAGAAGTTGTGCAAAGGATAGGCCTCTTAGTTAGTGCTGAGGATGACTCTCAGCTGCAACCACAAACAATTTTAGCTCAATAGCTTTAAAATAAACTGAGTTTTACCCAATTTTGTATGAGCTAATATTGACTAGCTATGGGAGCCATCTTGAATTACGATGACAGGTGAAGAAAACAAACTAGAAGTGAATTGAATGAGTTCTTCTGTTTAAGAATCTTGCGGCCACATGTTTGGAGAAAATGAAATGCAGCAGGAGAAAATTAAGAACATTAATGTATTTATTTATTTGATTATTTATTCATTTATTTATTTATTTAAAAAAAAAAGGTAAAGAGTGAATTGGAATATTCAAACAGAAGAGGAAATAAAAGCACAGATAACCATCTGCAGTGTGTTTTGTCGCCAACCGTAATTTTGAAACATTTCTCAATTGATAAAAACAGTTGCTTAAAGTGACGTTTTCATCTACAACTGATTAAGTTTGGGAATTAACCTGATTCAAGGTGGTTCCCAAGATGAATTAATAACTCGATTTTGTGATTTTCTGACGTTGGTATTTTTCAATTCTGCATAATTATTCCTGAAACATGATAGAAACAAACGTAAGCAGTCCTGACATCCTCTGACACTGCGGAGTTCTGAGCAAAGTGTCCAAGCTAAATGTCAAAGAAGCTTTAAGGAATGTGGTGAGCTTCATGTGATGGGGACGGGGATCTGAATGGAGACAGAGCTGAAAAACAGTGGCTCATATACAGTGTATTTTTAACCTAATCAAACAGTGCTCCACAGGCAGGGAACACAAAGTAAAAACAGAAAAGGAAAACTGAATTTGTCTGGAGCATGCAGGAGAAAATGAAAAAGATCTGACAACCAAAAACTTAAAAAGCTTAACGTGTATATATATATATATATATATATATATATATATATATATATATATATATATACCAACAGTAAATAACCAATACAGTACAGGTGAGAATATTAACAAAGAACCAGGCATTTAGGGAAAGCAGAAAATAAAACAGGGAACGAAGCAACAAAATTGAACAAACAAACAAAAAAATCCTCAAAACAAATTATTAGCCAAGAAAATCTTAAAGTCTAAAACACTAAAACCAGTTTTTAATTTCCCCTCTTACAAATTTTCTGGCAAAAATGTTTATAATTTAAAAAAAACATATTTTGTGACTTAAAAACTAATAAGCATCTGTATTAGATCTACCTCTTACAATTGCTTAATACCACAAATGGCTCATCAGCCAATCACATGGCAGCAACCCAATGTGTTTGAAGAAAGCTTGCTAAAGCCCAAACAGAGCATTTGACTGGGGCATAGTTGCTGGTCTGAATTTTTCTGATCTATTTGAATTTTCATG